GGGGGGAGGATTGGGGGTTCTGGGGGGGCGGGAAGTGGGAGGGGCAGGGGCGGGGCTAGGGCGGGGCTCCTCCCGTCCTCTTTTTTGCTTGCTGAAATATGGTAACCCTAATTTAGGAGAACAATGATTAGTTAAGCAAACAGGCAAACAATTACCATTTACACACATACTAAAATTATACTTACATTCATAGATGGAATGGCGTAACAATGGGTGATCAGTCCACTGACAACTGAATGAAGTATAGTTTTAAAATCCTGTAATTTAACAGTACCCTTTCGGTGTTAATTAGAGTTCTCCCACAATTTTGTAAGGCTACTCCTTTTCCTATTAATTAACATTAAACCTACCCATTACCATATTCACATTTCTGCCATCTCTTGACTTACACATTATTTACATTAACATCTGCACCAATGTCCTTCCCATGCTGCCAATATAGATAGAATTTTAATAAAATATTTCAGATTTTCAAAAACACTCACTAAAACCCTGCTAAAACCAGTTATAACCAAAACCAAACCTTGGGTCATGTCCTTGCTAATTTCAATTTTCTCATCTTAAAGTCTCCAACTCATCTCTAACCTTCGCTCACACTAACAAACTCAATTTCCCATGCTCCTCTATACTTAGCCTAACTTAGGCAAAAGCCTAATTTTGACTTATTTCTTAACCTTATAGGCTACAGGTCTAGGAGGTGGATGTGGGGAGCCTGGTCCTGCTTTCTTTCTCTTCCTTCCCACTTCCTGAGCCCTAGGACTTATCGGAGCTTTGGCCCCATATGATGTCCCTAGATAGAGGTGGTGGGAATGGATTGCTGGGACCAAGTGCTGGAAGTAGGGGTGATGGTGGGAAGCAGCCAGACTTTCTTCCCCGATTTCCTTCCTCCTCCCTCTCTGCTCTGGCAGCTCCCAGGTGTCTCGATACAGTGTAATGTTGCTGCTGCTTTGCTGGTGGCATCAGTTCGCCTTAGAATGTTTGTGTTTAGTTATTTTGGTAGACGGTCAACTTTTTTCATGAGAGAGGAGGGAAATGGTGATTTGTAACAGTTGAGCAAAAGCTGAACAGAATTTCATGAGACAAAGAGTAGGCACTTTGCTACCCGGAAGGGATTCCCCCTGCTGAATATCAAAACTCTGCTGCAAGTGATGACGGTGTGAAGAAAGAACAGGAGTACTTGTGGCACCTTAGAGACTAACAAATTTATTAGAGCATAAGCTTTCGTGCATCCGAAGAAGTGGGCTGTAGTCCACGAAAGCTTATGCTCTAATAAATTTGTTAGTCTCTAAAGTGCCACAAGTACTCCTGTTCTTTTTGCGGATACAGACTAACACGGCTGCTACTCTGAAGGTGTGAAGGTTTCTCAAAGAAAAGGTTGCAGGAATCTTTTAGAATGACAGGGGTAGGCAACCTAAATATATTGGTTGATACCAGCTCTCTCTGTAACTCTATTCTAATAGTTAGCAAATAAACATGGTCCTTAAGTATTTGATATAGATATTCCCACATTTTGCCACTGCACTAGAACCTGGCAAGTGAAACTAGCTCGTCTATTTTCATTGTCCAACCCCCCCCCCCAAATACAGGCAGCACAGATAGTGAAAAGTAAGGGTCTAATCTCTTATATTGTCTTCTGTGGAGACACAACAGCTGAGGATCTGGCCCATAATTTGTAACTTCACAATGTCCCTTTAATTGTTGTATGCAATGAGTCCAGAAGAAGCGCCGTGTGTGGCTTTAAAGCTTGTTTCTCACCAACAGAAGTTGGTCCAATATAAGTGTGACCATTGTCGCTTGGAGAGGCCAGACTGAGGTTGCTCAATCAGGGCAAACTGCAAAGAATGGGGCAGCTGATCCCCAAAACTGGTCGTTATTCTAGTAATTAGATTCACCAAGTCAGCAACAAAAAAGCTTCTAAAATACCTTACTGGTTACCCAGAAGCCAAATACACAGGCCTCTTAAAGCAACCCAGCCCTGGGCTCCCACCCAGAAAGCCAAGTCAACTATGATGCGGATTATTGAAAATCTTGTTCATCATACATAAAGTTCTACCAATCCCAAGGGATCGGACACATTACCCAACTGATCAATGAATATTTCAGATCTTACACAAATACATGCTTACAGCCAATTCTTATTAACTAAACTAAGATTTATAAAAAAAGAAGAAAGAGTATTGTGGTTAAAAGATTATACATACAGATATGAATAGAATTCTTAGGTCAGTTTCATAGTAGGGATGGTGAGCTGCTGAGTTGCAAAAAGTTCTTTCCAGAATCATTTTTTCAGGTTATAGTCCAAATAGGCAGTCTATATATAGAGTTTGTTCAAATTCTTCCATGAGAATTAGCAGGATAATCCAGACTGGAGCTGGAGATTTCCGTCTTCCAACTCAGGTTTCCCCAATCAAATTTAAGAAGAGCTCAGATACAGGATTGGGACCCTAGAGTTCTTTTATAGATCACAGGCAGGCTGCGATAGCTTCTTGACAGTATAGTAACACAGCAGGCGTTCCTTGAATGAAGAATAGGTAACACACATCAGTTGCTTTGAAGTAAGAATCCCTATTTCTTATGTATACACAGGTAAACTAGTAGTATTAATTAACATAAGGCAATTATCTATTCAAACTATCAAGGCATTCCATTATGGCACAGACAATTTAAACTGAAGACAATGTAAGTAATATTATTTCCTGCAATATCTTACATCTTTGATCTTAAGGGTAACTGAACCATCCATAAACATAATCTAATACAATTAAAACATGAAAGGGAGTTAGCATCCACAAGCTAATCTGGTTACATGGTTAACATCTAACAAGAGAGAGGGAAACACATACAGTTAGTATTTACCTCTTATTCTCTACAATACAGGTTTGCATTTCAAAGCTCTAGTTTATCTAGCATGGCTTTGTTAGCTATTTATAAGGAATGTTCCTAATTACTACTTTATATACTTCTCTAATAAGTCTTTAAAGGTTGAATTTGGATCATGTAGCCTGCTAGTTGCTTAACCCTTTCTGGCTCAGTGTCACAAAAAGACATTACCTCACCCACTTTGTCTCTGTAATTGTCCCTTTAAGGACATGGTTTTCAACCTTTTGTCATTTGTGGACCCCTATAAATTTTGAATGGCGGTGCGGATCTTTTTGAAAATCTTAGACAGTTTGTGGACCCCCAGGAGTCCATGGATCACAGGTTGAAAACCACTGCTTTAAGTCAGAAGTCTAAAGTTACAATCACCTCCTGCCTAGCTTTATATTTTGTGTTCTTGAAAATTGCTCTACATGATGATAGTATTTAACCTGAATGTATTTTGTTCCCTACACAGTTAATTTCTGTGAAAATAGTATTTACCAAGTCAACTCTTCAGTAAAGTTTACTTTTACAAGAATTATAGTAGACAGATATGGCTATTCTGAAGAAAAATGTAACAAGTCCACTGTAAACGGTAGGTGTTTCTTTTCTCTCCCCTCCTTACCCCTCTTCCCCTCCCCAAAAAGTGAATTTAAGGCTGGTGAAAGATGTCAGCTTATCAGACCAGGAGATGGAAGTCCTCTATTTAAACCCTGAACAGATACAGCCCTCCCCACACTGCGCTGCCACTATGTTTTGATGCTGATCCCTATGAAGGTGAAGGGGTAATTTAGTCTCCATATGTCAATGTAAATAAATATAATTTACTCTTCATGTCCTTGGTCTCCAAGATGGCCAGCAAAAATGCTAGTCTGAATGGTGAGTTTTATGAGTGGGATACCTGGCCACTTGGAACTGGACTGAGATCACTAACTCATATCACATAAGCCACTGAACAGTTATCAGGTGGTAATTAAGTCAGCTACTACCGTGCAGAGAATTCATTTAATTGTACCATATGACATAGAAAAAGGTTTCAGGAAAAGTTATTAAAATATCATCCATTTAGTCTGTTTGGATTGTGGGTATTTTGTAAGTAAAAAACAGGAGTAGGAAAGAGGTTTTTAATAGGGTCAGTTGAATATTATATAACACAATGAGTTTACAGTACTTACAATGTCTGATGATCTGTAGGGCATCTTTTTGTTCAGTAACATTTATATTGTTACTGCCTCCTCTGTATTTCTGCTGGTAACCTGTGACAAATTTTCAAACCTATTGTCGGGGGGGGGGGGGAGGGAGGGGAGGGAGGGGGGCGGAATTACCGTGCTTAAGGGGTAT